AAAAGAATCGGCAGACAGCCACGTATTAAAATGAGTGTCAATCATAGCCAAACAATTAAGCAAGTCAGGGAGCTAAAATATCTCGGTGTTGTGCTCGACCCGGGCCTGACCTGGATATCCCATTTAAATCAGATCAAAGAGAGAGTGAACAATTTTAACAACCTCATCAGACGGGTGGCCAGGGCCACTTGGGGCCTCAAACCATCGATCTTAAAAATCATCTCCGAAATCGACCGAAAGAATTATACTCTACACCGCAAGTGTCTGGTATCGCAATAATACAAAAATCAATGACAAGCTTAAATCCATTCAGAGATCCTCCTTGATTACCATAACAAAAGCCTACTCTACTACAAGTACGGAAGCCCTCCAGATACTGGCGGGAGTGATACCTATTCACTTAAAGATTCTTGAAGATATCAGCACAAAAAGATTGACTTGGGGCTGGGGGTTGGCTGACTTGGAAATAGTTTTGGGCCACTCTCTGGACTCGATTGCACTGGAACAACGACCAGTAAGACAACACCCCTCAAAGTTTGTTTCGGTGCCTAGGGGTAGGTCACTCCCCACTAATGAGGGGTTGGAAATTTTCACGGATGGTTCAAGAGTGGAGTTCGCCGAAGAGACCGATAATGGAAGTAGGATAAAGCACAAGACCGGCTATGGAATTATCATCAAGAGAAATGGGATAATCATTAAAGCGGACTCCATTAGACTCTCCAACAATTGCAGTATTTTTATGGCTGAGCTGATGGCAATTAAAAGTGCATTTGATTGGCTGGCTAAAAATGACTACCCGGACGCCACTCTTTTCACTGATTCGCTCTCATCGTTGCAAGCCCTAAGTGACCCAACTCCAAATAACAAAGAGACAGAAAATACTAAACAACTATGGAGACCAAACATCACATGTAACTGGGTCAGGGCGCACATTGGTATCCTAGGCAACGAGGAGGCGGATCAGGCAGCCAAGGAAGCCGTCAGTCTCAGCCAAATCAATTTAGAGGTCCCAAGTTCCAAGGCCCAGATCAAAACAATCATCAAGTCCAACAACCTAAATAGATGGAAAACAGAATGGCAGAGCTCCGAGAGAGGTCGACAAACCTATATTTTTTTTAAAGACCCTTCCACCAAACGACTACAGGCCAACTTTTACCTAAACCAATTACTTACTGGACACGGGGTGTTTGGAGAATACCAAAATAGACTTTTCAATAAAAACCCAAATTGTACCTACTGTGGGGACAATCAGACAATCGAACACTTGATCTTGAACTGCCCACACTTCCAGACACTCCGTGGAAACCATTTTGCAGGACAAAATTTGCACCAATGCTTTGCTAAGTTGGTCTGTAGAAACATAGTTAAACAAATTATAAAGGTAACATTGGAGGACACTCTGAACCACATTTAACTATGCTCGGAGCCTGCGAACACTATTGCTGGTGTCTTGTGTATCTATCTAATTTCATTTTAAACTTCTCTACGTTTTAACTTGTATTGTTTTTATAAATTTTTATAAGTTTTAATATAGTAATTTATAAGTTTTAACATTTATTGGTTTTGGGGTGATTTTGTTTTTTTTAACCTTTTTACTACTTTATTATTTTAATTGGTTTAAACTTGTTTTATGGAATTGTATTGAACATTATTTTAGATATTCGGATTTTTATATTCACTGTTGATGTAACTTTTAGAGATTTACGTATTTTTAATGTATGATTTGTGTATGTATCAACTCTCGTATGCCCTAAAATAGGGCGGGGCGAGATAAGAATAAACTCATATATGTTGTGTAAAGATGTGTATTTGCCGGATGTGTGCAAACCTTAAAGCATTTACAATGTTAAATTTACAGTTAAGAAGTTCAAGAATCGATTATAGTGAATACCTTTAAATGGAAAAAACTTCAATTCTATATTACTCTAAAAAGTGGTCGGTTTAATTCCGTGGAAAGTTAGAGAAAAAATTACCATTTATTACAATTTAGAAGCGTTTTAGATCTCAACAATATTTGAAATATAAGTAAAATATTAACTGAGTAATTTCTTCTGTATTAAAAAACGTAAGCAGTACACCTCTACTGTTTTGGCCGTGCAACTTTACGTTGCGTTTTGTTTTATTTAAAAATCTGAAACTATGGAGGTGTGTAAGAAACGTGAAGGGAACAATATTGAGTAAAACCATCTAACGTTCGTTTTTATTAGTTTGAGAAATATTAACTTTTAAACTTGTAGTAAAAAATACCATGTGGGTCACTCTAGAGCCTGCAGAAATTATGAAACAGACTTTAAGTTTCATATGCTGAAAGGCCCACTTTTATTTGTGAGCTTAATGAAGCTTCTTTTTCATTTAAAATTACGCAGCCACTTAACCACTCAATCAAACCACACAACTGCAACATTATCATTTTATTTTTTACGTATAACTTTAAATTATTTATGCGTCATAGCGGTTAGAGTCATTTTGAATCATATAAATTAAACCAATAATCAAATGTTAAAGCATACTAGTATAAAGTATACTTAACCGAAATGTATGGAGAAAAGAAAATCCGATAATATTTCGGTAGCTTCTTTATGTTAAAAGTTAATAAAATGTTTCTATTCTAGCACTTCATTTTTAAAGTTTTTTGGTGACTAGCTGGGTTGCCCACATGAAATCACCGCTTGACGGAATGACATTTCAATATTTAGAATCAAGTGTACTAGTCAAGTAATCTAATTGCTTCAACTAATTATTTTGTACTAATCAAATAATCTATTTGCTTCAACTAATTATTTTCATAAATTAATATTAAGTGAGTCTCTCCCTAAGAATTTTTAAAAAATTTAAGGATATTGTGAGGCGATTAAATTTCGTTTCAGAAACAGTCGTGACAAAATTACAAAAAAAAAAAAAAAAAAAAAAAAAAAAAAAAAAAAAAAAAAAAAAAACTATACAAAAGTCATAAACAATGGATGAACAATGGCTGCTGGGCTATCCTCGATTTATATAAATAAAATGAAAAAAAACCTCAATTTTTTTCTCGAAACAACACCAAAGCTAAAAATTTACATAAACCATAATATTCTTTAACCGATACATCGTCACGAACGGACAGTGTCAGGTCACATAGTGAACTGACCAGATGGACAGTCTCAATATCCGTGAGCTTGATCGAAAGCGTTTTGTTGGAAGAGAAAAACTTATAGTTCATTTCCTGCAGGAGTGTGTAAGGATCGCTAAATAACGTGTGAAATAAAAATTACAAAAAAAGTTAATTTGTTACACCATTTAAATTTGAATTAGGCAATAAAATAATAAGCACTGAATCACAATCTGAAATCTTTGGTCGTCAATGTCTACACAATTTAGTGTTGCCACCATATATTTTATCCTAGCTTTAGGGAGTTGCGACTTCAGCCAATAGAGGCTAAAGTGTATACAGGGATACTAATTGCTTCGCTTTGAGCAAAAAACTTTACTAAGTGGTGCAAAGTTGAAAATTATAACTTGCATAATTTTGGCAAATATTTCAAACTCTTCAAGGGGTTCTCATAAAGTAACTGGAATAACGTGTTATTTTATACAGTGAATTCGCGATAACTCGAATCTGATAGGACTGACGAAAAACTTCGACATATCGGAAGTTCGACTTACCGTTTGTTGCGGTTTTCGACTTTCAAAATATTGTCAGATTATTTAATTAATGCTTATTAATTACAAATCTTCTAAATGCTTACAATATTTAAGATCATTTTTCTGACAAGCCATTTACGATAAGACTGTTTGAAGCACTTTATGATACCCTGGTCCATCGGCTGCAACTTTGCTGTTGTGTTTGGCGGGAGAAACTGCAAGTTTACTGCTTTCAAATTAGGTAGATCACTATGCGCTGTGCATTTATCCATAAAGAGTATCACTTTTCTTTTTTTAGCGAAGAATTTCCGATCCAATTTTCTTACATAGTCTTCAAATAAAACTGATGTCATCCAAAACTTTTTGTTAGACTTGTAATCCAAAGGATACGTTTTTACATTCTTGAAACATCGGGGATTTCGGTATTTTCCGATAACAAGTAAGGGCAATTTCTCTGTCCCAGACGCATTTCCTCCAACTAGGACAGTCAAACGTTCCTTGCTCATTTTACCCCCTGAGCAGTTTTCATCCTTAAACATCATAGTCTTATTTGGAAGACATTTAAAAAATAAACCCATTTCATCAATATTGAAAACATCATTTTAACTGTATCCTTGAAGTAAATTTGGTAACGTTTCATTTAACCACTGTTCACATACTTCAAGAGGGACAGCTTTAGCTTCTCCATGAAGAGTGCGAAAGACATTGTGTGTGTGTTGCAAAGGAAGGGGCAAGATATCAGCTCCTAGGTTTTTTTTTCTTGCTTTAAAAGATCCAAAAAAAATCGAGTTAAAGGGAGTAAAATTCGAGTAATCGAGAATAATTAACATGAAATTGGAGATAAAAGGGTAGGGACCTCATAAAAAAACCAAGTTATAGTAATATTCCAGTTATCGTACTTCGAGTTATAGCGAATTGACTGTATTAGTTTTTGTAGCTGTGGGTAAAATAATTATAAATCAAATTCACTTAATCAAGATTTACCTAAATTATAAAAACACAAATATTGTTTAAATTAAGAAAACATTACTCATAAAGTGGATCAAGTTGGCATTTCTGTGAATACCACATATAGAAAATTTGCGCTATTCCGTAACAGAAATGTGCAACTATTATGGAAATGTGTATGGAGTGCTTATAGTTTTGTTCGATAAAATTCACTCTGAAATATTCAATGAATACAGTTTAAAACTAGCGGCAGCGTTGTAAGGAATGCTTCGTTCGATGTTACAGACAATGCAAATTGATCTTGTGAGCAACATTAGGTCTGGGAATTGTGTGACATCAAGGGAATTCATGCAAGAAATACAAAGATCAGGCAAATGTGCAGAAATGCATGCAAACATAAAGAGATAGGGCAAAATAAATAGTTAACTAACGGTGGTTAGGTAAGGTCCAGAGGGAATGGGTGTTGGAGGAGGCGATTCCATCCGTTTCAGCTGCTTTATGGGAACATCCACCATCCGCAGGTCATCCCGCAATTGCTGCAAATACACATCGTCAAATCAGTGCTTTCGTTGCATACAAGGTGTACTCTAAACCCCGCCTTTCATATATATTTTAAAAGTTCTTAACAATAATGAATAAATCCTTTATTTGTCCAAAGCTGTTTATTTTTCCTTATTTTGACGAAAAATCAATTTTTATATTTAAAGGGTTAATAAAATTTAGGATTTAATGTTTAAATTTTAAAAAGAAAATCTTTTTGATCACCACTATACACAAATATTTTGAATATATCTGTAGCAGATTTTTTATAATGGGGGCACAATTTCAGGTTTTTACAGTGATCATCTCCTCGAATATTAAGTTGACCAGCGTCCTCAAAAAACTGGTAGCAAAGTTTCTGAAAGAACATTCTAAAACTCACCTCTGTTACTTTATAATAAAGTTATTTCTGTAAGAGATTGCCTGCGAGGGATCTCTGTTCTAAGAATATTAATTTGAAAAGAAAAGGCTGTTAGTTTCCAAAGGCTCCAATAGAAATTTCACTACCAGTGTTCTAGTTTTTTAGGACGCTGGTTACCTTATCCTTCACCAGAAATCCTCCCGACTTTTTATAAGCAGTTTGTGCAGATTTGCGCAGTAGTTTGAGCAGATCTTCATATTTTTTAAATAAAATGTTTGTGCATGAATCAACGCTTATATCATAAAAATTCTTGAAAGAAAATTATCTTAGTTTAATATTCAGATATTTGATGAATTAATACGAGGTGTTTGACAAGGAATGAAGACGAAACAGTTATATTCATTCATTAAATAGCTTTAAAGACATATGTTTGCTATCACATTCTTGTTTTTACTGGCCATAAAATGGCTGTTGCTTTACTTTCATAGTGGACTATATTTAAGAAACTATATGGAGGCTTTCAGTTATAGGAAGCGATGCTTTGACTACACAAAACACTTTGACACACATTTTAGTTTCCAATCGTGAAGCCTATTGTTAGATCACTATAAAAGTTGGCAGTTATGGTAACTTAACACATTGCATGCGGTCAACTATTTCACAAATGTATTACCGCTGTTATAAATTAAACTTAAAAAAAATATGGTAGAAAAGATTTCACAACAGTTGTTGGAGCATCTTAGCTACAACTTCAATTAAAAAAAAAATTACGACGAGCGATTGTAGCACTGATTTCAAAAAGACTGAAATATTTATGATTGCGGCAATCACGAATGGATAATTTCGCTTACAAACAGAGCGGGAATGAAGTAGTTCTGCTAACACTTTTTTGACTTTTGTATGGAGCAATGAAATTTCAAAAACGTAATTTTATTTGATCCGCTTGTAACGCGCTTTTACAAAATACGCTTCACAGCAATATTGAATTGATTCCGAAGTTTCGAAATTTTTAAAACCAAGTACTGATATCTTGTATCTAACAGATTAATTATATGTAACAGTGGGAAATATGATTTCTGAAGTAATTTTAATCAACAGTAAGGTAGAAATTGAAAATTAACAAAATAAAATTTTTCCCCCCATACGAATCGTTAAGTGGGGCTCATCCATTCGTAATGCATTACGTTAAAAAAGCTACTCCCTTTTTCCCAAATTAGTTGCTATATTTGAATACTTTTGTACTGATTATTGATACTGATGATTTTATGGTTCTGTTTGAGCTCTTTTCAAAGATTTCAAGGTGCTATGCTATCAGTCAACATTTATTTACCAGCATCCAGTCCAGTCCTTAAATCAGCACCAAATTCGTTTCTTAAGTCCGGGATTTGCACGCTTTTGCCCTCACCTCATTTTCTAAGGACTCCTTCACCAGTATTCGCGTAAAGTTATCTCCTAACTAATGAATCTGGAATTTATTAGTAATATAATTTAGATCATCATATTGGGAAGCTAAATTAATTTTTTTTTGAAAAAACCCATAAATTGTGGCACCGCAGGATTTAATGAAATTTTTACTTTTGGAAACTTAAGAGGAAACGTAAATCTCAGGCCAATGGCAGCTTACTTTTGTAGCGACGCAACTTTATCTAAGATGCAAAATATTTAATTTTCTTTTCACTCTAATTTACATTCCAATTACCAGAAAGAGCCACCTTAAGTATAACATTTCAAGATGGATGGGAAAAGGGCAGCTAACGGCTAGATACATTTTGATGATGGTAGTAATTTAATTTCTTGTTCTGTGTGTGTCAGTCTGCAAAACTTCACAGGGAGTTATTTATGATTCCACCTACTTGAAATTGTGGCAACTAATTCGGGGCAAAAGTTTCGACCTAAATGTGAAACTAATTTGGGACGGAGGGAGTATAAACTTTGATATATTTTTGGCTCGTAATGATATTGAGGAATAATAAAATATACAGTTATTAATACACGTTATAAAGGTTAGTTCTGAAATTTTTTTAAGGAGAGATAATTGGGAAATTGCGTGAACTCTACGCAATGGGTTAATTCCTAATATGAACGAAAACATTTGCCTAATTTAGATGTAAATGCACTGTAACTATTTCTTTAAAGACACTTATCACATCAGCGGTAAAGTTGGTCAAGTCCTGGCTAATTAACGCGTTGAATGCCATGCTAATTTTACATGGCTTGCCCGTCTGGCCGGATGGTAAATAACTACAAACTAAATTTGCAAATTTGATAGATTTTGCTAGTTTTTTAAAAGGTTTAGCAGCGCACATGTGAGAAAAGTGGTGAATTACATAAGCCTACGAATTGTTTAGAAATAGTGGTAGATAAAAATCTACTAAATTGAATTTATTAAACCAAGAATCGCAATTATTAAACTACCACTAGAAAATATTTATTCCCTGTCCGTAGTTGGCTACTCTGTGTATATAAATAAAATTATTTTTGTGTGTTCTACATTGCATCAATTTCTTCAAACCATTTTAGAAACGATAATAATATAAAAAAATAAAAATTTACTCGAACTATGTGTATCTTGGCTTTGCCGTTCACCGGTGACTCCCATGGCATTCAATGTGTGAAAGAAAAAAATTTGACTTGTCTGGTACGTTTTTTTTATTACCTGTAGTTAAATTTATAAAGAGCCAATGGGAGTTCTGTTTTGAACAACTACTAAACGAGGGTAACAAATGTAAATCTTGACAAAGGAAAACTGATCATTTTAGTATAAGCTTTTGTAAATCACAGTATGTTGTCTTTCCAATATTTGCTTTAAAACCATTTACATAGAAATATTATTACAAGGGAACTATTTACATACAAGGAAAAGTAATATTTCATAAAAGTGCAGAATAAAGCTAAACACTCAAACTAATATGAAAGATAAGGAAATATAAACCCCTTTTTTATATCTATAAATGGTTTTATGGCTATGACTGTAATACAAAACGCAAAGAGTGTTGATTTACCGGTGATGTACACACTGATACACGGTCACGTGACCCCTCCACTGTTTCATAGACATACAATGACCGATCCCTGGAGTACTCATCGCACTTGACATAATTTGTTTTCGCTGTTATGTGAAATCTCTGGAATACTAAGTGACCGTATATTTCAAGGATTATGAAACACCTTCATTATTCCTGGAACTTTATTTTTACAAATCATATGATGTCACTGACTGCTATTCTCGATGGGAAATTAAGAAGATTACTTGCTAATGTTTTTGTTGACCTTTAATTTATACGCGTGTCACTGTAAGCAACGTTCAAAGGGTTTGGGATCATTAACATTTTGATTGTTACAGAATTTTTTTTTTTTTTTGATGAAGGAAAAGTCATTCACTTGAGAAAACTGTAATAAATTTTCTGAAAAAAATTATATAAACGAAAAAAAATTAAGAAGGTGAATAATCATAATAGCACAGCCTTTATTTACGCAATATATTTACATAAAAAAAATTCGCTTTAAATTCAATTTACCTATCGTTTTATATAACTATAACAGTAGTTCAAACGGGAAATTTTTAACAGTCTTAAATAATAAATGTGCTGTTATTTCTATTTTATAATTCAGGGACTGAATGACTTATTATTTGGGGCTGTTAAAATGTTTTAAATATCTGTCAATGACTTTAAAAAAAATCGTAGCTAAGAGTATGAGTGTGATACGATCTTTATTTTTCAGGTGATAATAACATATTTTTCTGTAAAATTTCATTTATTAAAAAAAAAAACATGCAAAAAATTGAATTAATAGGCAATAAAATATAACTCAATAAAATAAATTTAGCTTAAATTAATGTACTGGATTTGATAGTAGAATTAGTGTTTTGAATTTGAATGTATAACATCGCTTATTAGAGCCTATAATCTCTTTTCAAGGATAAGTTGATTTTTCTAAACAGTAATAGTTGTTAGCACTATTATCTTACAATTAGCATTTGTCTTGAAGAGTTGAAACATGTATCACTTAACCCTTTCGGGACGGACGAATCATAAATGTATTGGTAAGGAATCAGTATCAGGATGGTAAAAAGTAAAAAAGCGGTAGCTTAAGTTTGAGCATAGCTAATTTGACAGATTTATTTTTGCATTCACTTTAAATCTAATACATCGAATCGATGTTACTTACTTACGTTATTTACAAAAATTGGGCACCTGGGCCATGCAGATGGCCCGTATCCCATACATCATGTAATATTACAAAACATTATAATAAAAACCAGTTTCAGCAGTCTATGGGGTGGCTATCATTATCATTACCCCGCGCACAAGTAAGCAGCTATAGAAATAGTTTTGTTATCAGTTTAATCTTTTTTACCTTGATTATCGCCACCCTGAGAATGCATATATGACTCGCCTGTCTGGAAAAGGATAATCCTTAAATGGTCAGAACTTTCGTTTCGTTTTATGTCCTTTTTTTTAATAAATAAGATTGAAATTGGTAACTTAATTATTTTATTAATTCTTTAAAATCTTATTTGCGTGAATCAAACATTTTCATGTCAACCAAAATATACTAATAAAACTGGGGAACGTTTTTTTACCTTCGTTTTCTGTTGAATTAGATTTTTGAACGGTTCCTAGATATTTTTGC